TTTCTTTAATTTTAAAAAGTAAAAAATTTTACCATTAGTTTTATATATAATTTGCAAATTGTACACTCTACCCTTAAAATATGAGTAAATTAAATAGCGTATCATATTGTATATTAATGTGTAAAAAATGATAAAGAAATTTATTATTTTTTTTGTATGGATCTAGAAAGAATTACATTGAGCAGTAAAATTCTTGAATATAAAGATAATTCTATAGAGAAGATGACAAAAACCTTTTTGTCAACAGTTAATTTTCTTTATTTTAATATAAACTAATGATGATTAAATCAGTTTTGTTTAGTTGAACGCAGTATTTAAAACACTGTTTTTAAATGACGATGATAATCATAAATGAACAGTTTAATGTAGTATTTAAAAAATTGAAGCTTTAAAATTTGAAAGTTTTTTATCGTACGCAATATTTAAAAAATTTCATGATTTCTTTTAGTCATGTGCAAGTTTTTTTAGTCGTACACAGTATTTAAAAAATTTCATGTTTTCATTTAGTCGTAAACAAGTTTTTAGTCGTGTCGTGCGCATCATTTAAATCGCATTAAATTGCAATTTCATTTTTTAATCGAATTTTTTATATATTCAAACGCATAATTTACAAATTCTTAACAACGGTTCACCGGAATAACAAGTAAATTTTTAACAAAATTTTTTATCGAAACTTATGATAGAAATCATTATAACTCTAATACAACCTTTATCACACACTGTGTTGTAAGTTCTGTAATAGATCTTTTACAATATCTCATGATAGGAATTTTATTCTTTCAAGCAATTTTTTTTCGTGACGGAGGTATGGATGATACGCTAGTTTTATGCTATCCTTTTTTTATATGGTGTTTAATTCATCAGATAACGCTGCGCATAACGGATCTTCATGATAGTAACTTTATAAGTTTAAAAATAATTAAATACGTATATGATAAACCGTAGAATTTTACTTACAAAATTGTGCACAATACGGATTAAAAAACTTAGACAATAGATGACATAATCATACATCAGATAGTTATTATAATTGCCTTAAACAAGTAGTCAACTGTTCCAAAAAGAAAAACTTAAAATCACATATATATACTGTATAAACGGTTGTTCGAAGCCATCATAACGGCAAAATATAATATTTGAGCCTTCTAATAACAATCATATTTCAGCTCTTCTTTATAATTATTAAACTTTATACAAGAATTATATACATATTTAGTATATAAATTCTGGTTAACTTTTGTTAATATGTCTAAAGAGAAAGAAATTTTGAACGAAAATTTGTTTATTCAGTACCAAAAATCTGCCGAAATGGGAGATCCTGACGGAATGGTTCGAGCTGGTTATTGTTATCAAAATGGAATTGGTGTTGAAAAGGATGAACTTAAGGCATTTTTATATTATCAAAAATCTTCAGAAATGGGTGATCCTGCTGGATTGTTTCAAGTTGGACGTTGCTATCAAGATGGAATTGGAGTTAAAAAGATGAAAATAAGGCATTTATTCATTATCAACAATCTGCCGAGATGGGTGATACTACTGGAATGATTCAAGTTGGCAATTGTTATCAAAATAGAATTGGAGTCCAAAAGGATGAAAATAAGGCATTCATTCATTATCAAAAATCCGATAATATGGGAGATGCTGATGGAACATATAACGTTGGCTGCTGTTATCTTAAAGGAATTGGTGCTGAAAAAGATGAACGTAAGGCGTTTATTTATTTTCAAAAATCAGCAGAGATGGGGCATGCTAAAGGAATATATAATGTCGGATATTGTTATAGTGAAGGAATCGGAGTTGAAAAGGATGAACATACGGCATTCCTTTATTATCAAAAATCTGCTAGCATTTGCAATTCTGCTGGAATGTTTCAAGTAGGTTATTGTTATCAAAATGGAATTGGGGTTGAAGAGGATGAACATATGGCATTTATTCATTACCAAAAGTCTGCAGATCTTGGGAATTCTGATGGAATATTTCAAGTTGGTTATTGCTATAAAAATGGAATCGGAATTGAAAATGATGAATGCAAGGCGCTCGCTTATTACCAAGCATCTGCTGCGATGGGTAACTATAAAGGAATAAATGCTCTTGAACAATGTGAAGTCGATGAATCGGATATAATACGTGAAGTTAACGAAAACAAAGCTTGTTTGGAGATTAATAATCATAGACCAACTTGCTGTTTTCAAGAATTTGATGAACAAGGAAATTCTAAATTGTACAGTACAGATCTTTATGCACTTAATGGAGCAGATATAATGTGCGAAGTTGGATATCGTTTTGAGAAAGGAATTGGCGTTGAAAAGAATGATCATCAAGCATTCAAATGTTATCAAGAGTCTGCTGACATGGGAAATGCTAATGGAATAGTTTTTGTTGCTAATTGCTATATTCATGGAATTGGTGTTGAAAAGGACGAACATAAGGCATTCATTAATTGTCAAAAAGCTGTTGAAATGGGAAATGCTGCCGGAATGAATCAGGTTGGTTATTGTTATCAAAATGGAATTGGTGTTGAAAAGGATGAAAATAAAGCATTCATTTATTATCAAAAATCTGCTGATATGGGAGATGCTAGTGGAACATATAATGTTGGTTGTTGCTATCGAAACGGGATTGGGGTTAAAAAAGATGAACATAAGGAATTCACCTATTTTCAAAACTCTGCTAATATGGGCCATTCTATTGGAACATATATGGTTGGACATTGTTATGAAAAAGGAATCGGAGTTAAAAAGGATGAATATAGAGCATTCATTTATTATCAAAAATCTTCAGAGATGGGGAATGTTGATGGAATAGTTCATCTTGGCCATTGTTACCGAGATGGAATTGGAGTTGAAAATGAAAATAAAGCATTTATTCTTTATCAAAAATCTGCTGAAACGGGTGATCCTAATGGAATATTTGAAGTTGGATATTGTTATCACAATAGTATTGGAGTTGAGAAAGACGAATTTAAAGCATTCGCACATTATCAAAAATCTTCTGAGATGGAACATGCTTCTGGAACATATAATCTAGGTTATTGTTATTTTCACGGAATTGGTGTTAAAAAAGATGAGCGCAAAGCGTTCATTAATTTTCAAAAATCTGCAAATATGGGCCATTCTGATGGAATGGTTCAAGTTGGTTCATTATATAGTAATGGAATTGGAATTGAGAAAGATGACTATAAGGCATTCATTTATTTTCAAAAATCTGCAAATAAGGGAAATCCTAATGGAATAAATCAAGTTGGCTATTGTTACCGAAATGGAGTTGGAATTGAAAGAGATTTACAAAAAGCCGATTATTGGTATCAAAAGTAATAAATTATTTTTTATTGTGCTTTGCAAAAAGATAGGACCTCTGCAGATCACAAAGTCGTGTGAAAATCTGAGATTCTGTAGATTTTAAGAATCTTAACAAATTTCAAATAAATATAAATATAACTGATCGAAAATATGAATTAATAGGCAATTTAGAATCTCGGAAATTTTCCTCATTCATCATCACAAAAATCATGGGTCACTTCTTTTTGCAAAACACTATAATTTAGTATCATTTTAGCTTTTCATAAAATCTAATAAATTTAAATGTTAAAATCATTATTTAGAGGAAAGAATCTATCATCAGGTAACCTTTATTGACTGTATTTATTCCAGATATGTATCTAAACTAATTTGTATTAATTCATCAGAAACAAATAAATGGACACATGAAGACTCTGATATCGACGGTGATTTGAGAAAAATGTTAATCGAAAATAAATATCAATTTTCGTGGATCGATTTTAACGAATTTAAAAATATTCAAGAGATAGGAAAGGGCGGATTTGCAACAGTTTATTCTGCCAGATGGTTTGATCAAAATAAAAGAATTGAAATGAATGTTGCACTTAAGTTACTTCATGGATCCGGAAATAAACACAAAGAATTTATAAAAGAGGTAATTTATTTTTTTAGATTATTATTTTTATATGTCGAGAGTTGTTCTGATATATTTTTCATTCTGACAATAAGTTGAAAGCATATTGTGAAATAAGTCTTAAAAATACGACCTTTTTAAAATGTTTCGGTATATCAAAAGATGATGTTTCTAAAGATTATATTTTAGTTATGGAATATGCACGGATGGGTTCCTTACGTAAAAATCTTTATTCTGTTTCACAAATGGAATGGAAAAAGAAGTTAATTCTGTTGCATAGCATCGCTTCTGATCTTCAAATAATTCATTCTCAATACCTTATTCACCGAGACATACATAGTGGAAATATACTGTTAGATAGCTTTAAAAGTGCATACATTATAGATTTAGGACTTTCCTCAACATTAACTAATAAAGAATCAAATAATGAAGTTCGCAGAGTAATACCATATATAGCGCCCGAAGTATTAGACAGAGGGTCGTATAGTATGGCATCAGATGTGTATTCTTTTGATATGATAGCTTATGAAATAGCATCAGGTCATTCAGCACATCATGGAATTACCTGTGATCATCATTTGGCGCGTGAAATTACTTATAATAACTTACGTCCGAGTATCCCAATTTATGTACCAGATTTAGTTACAGAATTAATTTGTAAATGTTGGGATACTAACCCGAATAAAAGACCATCTTCTGAAGAAATATGTGATATTATAAGTGACATGTTGAGCAATGAATCTGCTGAATTTGCTACGCAATTGAAAAGAGCTGATGGCAAAGCGCTTGAAAATTTAATGGTATCCGATATATCAGCACCGTCTCATTTCGGGACACAAATTACATCAGCTAATCATTCTAAACATAGATATGTGGATTCTGATAATTGTAAATCATTCATTAATAATCTTGAATCTGCAGGATTAGATACTGTTACGCAACTGAAAAGAGTTGATAAATTGCTTGAAAATTTAATGATATCCGACATATCGACACCATCTCATTCAACATATAGATATGTGGGTTCTGATAAGCAAAACCATCTAAGTAATAATTGCATTTATTATTAACGATATGATTTTGATTTGTCTTATTATTTTTATTGTACACTTATTAATATATATTACATATATATATATTTGCATAACAAAGATGAGCAAAAGAACAGTAGAAGCCTATTAATAATAGATCCATTTAATGTTGACGTAATTGAAGAAAGTTCTCAAGAAAATAAAACCAAAAATGGTGAGCATAAGCGAAGTTCATTTTTTTTATTCAAAATCTTTTGAAATTGGAAATATTAATAGTACATGTAATCTTGACATTTTGTTACGAAGCTGATAGTGATGTTGAAAAGGATGTTCGCAAGATATTTACTAATTGCCAAAAATCTTTTACAATTGACGTCAGAGAAATATATCAACTAGGATATAATTATGATATTGGAATTGGTGTTGAGAAAAATGAGCATAAGGCATTTCTTTATTATCAAAAAGCTGCAGAGTTAGAGGACGTTGATGGAATATATATCCTTGGTTATTTTTATTTTTTTGGGATTGGAGTCGAAAAAAATGATCATAAGGCATTTACTTATTACCTAAAATCTGCTGATATGGGAAATGTGAAAGGAATGAATAATACTGGTTTTTGCTATCAAAATGGAATTGGAATTGAAAAGGATTAACACAAGGCATTCATTTATTATCAAAAATCTGCTGAAATGGGTTATATCGGCGCAATACATAATCTTGGGCATTGTTATCGATTTGGAGTCGGTGTTGAAAAAGATAAAAATAAGGCATTCACTTATTATAAAAAATCAGACGAAATGGGATTTTCTCATGGTGCATATATGCTTGGTCAATGCTATCTTAATGGAATTGGGGTTGAAATGAACAGGAATAAAGCATTCAATTATTATAAAAAATCTGCCGATATGGAGAATGATAGCGGAATTAAAATGCTTGGATATTGTTATTGCAATGGAATTGGAGTTGAAAAGGATGAACATAAAGCATTCGTTTATTATCTAAAATCTGCAGAAATGGGTAATCCTGAAGGAACATTTAATGTTGGCTATTGTTATCAACATGGAATTGGGGTTAAAAAAGATGAACATGAAGCATTCAAATATTATCAAAATCTGCAGAGATGGGTGATTCTGAAGGAATGTTTCAAACTGGTAATTGTTATCTTTATAAAATTGGAGTTGAAAAGAATGAACATGAGGCATTTATTTATTATCAAAAATCTGCTGAAATGGACAATTCCAATGGAATTTCACAAGTTATTTACTGTTACCAAAACGGAATTGGTGTCGAAAAGGATGAGCATAAAGCATTCATTCATTACGAAAAATCAGCTAAGATGGGTAATTATGATGGAATGAATAGTGTTGGTCATTGTTATCTTAACGGAATTGGAGTTGAAAAAGATGAGCACAAAGCATTTATTTATTATAAAAAATCTGCTGATTTGGGTGATTCTAATGGAATGTTCCATGTTGGATTTTGCTATAGAGAAGGAATTGGTGTTGAAAAGGATGAAAATAATGCATTTATTTACTATATAAAATCTGCTGATATGGGAAATATTAGTGCAATGTCTGATGTTGGTTATTGTTATCAAACTGGATTTGGAGTTAAAAAAGACGAACATATGGCATTTAATTATTATCAAAAATCTGCTGAAATGGGTTCATCTAAAGGAACAGTTCAAGTCGGTAATTGTTTTCTAAATGGAATAGGAGTTGAAAAAGATGTTCATAAAGCGTTTAATTATTATAAAAAATCTGCTGATATGGGAGATGCTGATGGAATAAACAGTCTCGGATATTGTTATCATTATGGAATTGGGGTTGAAAAGGATGAAAATAAAGCATTTATTTATTATCAAAAATCTTCTGACATGGGTAGTGCTTTTGCAACAGTTAATGTCGGTAAATGTTATGAAGATGGAATTGGAGTTGAAAAGGATGGATATAAAGGATTCGTTTATTATCAAAAATCTGTAGATATGGGTAATACTAAAGCGATAAATCGTGCTGGTAACTGTTATCGTAATGGAATTGGAGTTGAAAAGGATGAAAATAAGGCATTCGTTTATTATCAAAAATCTGCTGATATGGGACATGCTGATGGAACCATTAATGTTGCTTATTATCACCAATATGGGATTGGTGTGATAAAGGATGAAATTACAGCATTCATTTATTATCAAAAATCTGCCGAGATGAAAGATGCCATTGGAATATTTTGTCTTGGAAATTGTTATCAAAATGGAATTGGGGTTGAAAAAGACGAATATAAAGCATTTACTTATTATCAAAAATCGGCCGAAATGTGTAATCCTGATGGAATGTTTTTAGTTGGATCTTGTTATCAAAATGGAATAGGAGTTGAAAAGGATGACAGCATGGCATTCTATTATTATTGCAAGTCTTCCGATTTTGGACACGCTAACGGTACATATGTTCTTGCCAATTGTTACTTTAAAGGGATTGGGGTTGAAAAGAATGAACGTAAAGCATTTATTTATTATCAAAAATCCGCCAATATGGGACATGCTGTAGGAACATTTAATCTTGGATGTTGTTATCTATATGGAAATGGCATTGAAAAAGACGAGCATAAAGCATTCATTTATTATCTAAAATCTGCAAAAATGGGTGACGTTGATGGAACATTTAATGTTGGATGTTGTTATGAAGAAGGAATTGGAGTTGATAAAGACGAACAAAAGGCATTCATTTATTATCAAGCATCCGCAGAGATGGGCCATGATAATGGAATGTTTAATCTTGGTCATTGTTATCTTTATGGAATTGGTGTTGAAAATAATGAACATATAGCATTCATTCATTATCAAAAATCATCTGAGATGGGGCATGCTAACGGAACTTATAATGTTGGGTATTTTTACGAAAATGGAATTGGAATTGAAAAAGATGAAAATAAAGCATTTATTTATTATCAAAAGTCTGCTGAGATGGGAAGTGATATTGGTACATATTGTCTTGGGCGTTGTTATCAAAATGGAATTGGGGTTTCAAAGGATGAAGATAAAGCGCTTGTTTATTATAATGCTGCCAGCCAGCTTAGTCAGTCTAGCTTGACTAGGGTAAAATCGCCACCAAAAAAAATTTCAAACATCACATGATACAAGATCACACATCAAAAAATTCATGCACAGTAACTTGAGTATAATGTATATGATAATATTTTTACGAATTAAAGAAACTAACGAAATACGTATTACTAATAAGATAAATAGTATCATTCATTTATTTATTTCGAATAAAACTTAACATTTATTATTGCCAGAAAGTATTATGATTTTTCCAAGTATTGGGAATATAACCTTATATTTTAAAATGATTATAATCCTCCAATTTATTCAATAGTTCAAAGTTTTCGTTAATACAATCGAGACACTTGTTACCATTGGATTCGTTATGCTTTCTTCAATAATTTTTTTTTTTTTTTGCTACTGCTTCCAACAAGTTAAAATTTGCAATCAATGCATGTTTTTAGCCAATTATTAATGTTTTAATGTTTATTAGATTTTGTATTTCTAAAGCAGGCGTTTGGTTTGTGCATTATGTATATCATTATTTTAAAAAATTGAAAAGATCATTCACAAAGTTTGTTCTCAAGCAGCTCCCATAATGCGATTTTCTAGTGATCGAGATGCTGCTCAATCATTTCAATTAATCTGATTTTAATTAATCTGATTTTAAATTTTACCTATCAAAGTAACTCTATGAAAAAAAAGATGGTTGTTAGGTCCAGGTTTTTTTGATGAAATGATTAAACACGATCCATTTTTGCAACCAATTAGATAATACCAGGAACGGAGTGATGCATATCACGTAGTGTATGGTTATGCAGCAATTGAAATGGCATGTATCCGCAAAATCTTGGATCTGATTAGTCCGCGTGATCCTAACTGTATATGCTATTTATTTTTCACGTATCAAGCATTGCATTTTAAGATGTTTTGAGAGTTCTTTGTTTTTAACGTACTAAAACTTTATGTGTGTATGCGTGATTGGAAGTTCTGTTGATAGAGGCCTATTGATTAAGATCTTGTTTCTGATTCTGATTATAATGTGAGGCTTCGGATGAATATTTAGATATATTTGAATATTTTTAGCTGCCATGTGCATCTATTAACCAATGATTTTGTGTGTAATATAATTAAAATAAGTTACTTTGTCAAATGATGTATTTTTTTCATAAAAAAAAAATCTTATTGCAGATGTCTTTGATATGATTATAAATTATCAATTTATCCAGTATGTAAAAAGATCCGAAATGACTCATTTTATGAACTTCTTTTTAGTAAAATATTTAAATAATACTAACGCTGACTTTTATTTGATTCCTTATTTGGGTAATCTACAATTATTAATTGATAAGCAAAAATAGTATTACTCTCGCATACATGTTCAAAATCGGAATAATCCAGACTGATATGCCGGAGTTTAATTTTATTTGATGAATGCATTTTGCATAAGTTGTAGTTTGTCGTTATGCATTGTTAAACTGATACAGGATAGGCTTCCAAGAATAAAATGATACAACAAAATATTAATTGGTAAATCGAAATCCATAAATTTAACCAAATTTAGAAATAACCAGAATTTATAATTATAAAGTTACTATAAAAATATATATAAATATTATGGTTCAGTAGTTGAAATACTTACATAACAAACATAACACAATTCTTTGTTC